CCACAGATGATCAAGAATTGGGAATGCATTTTGTTGGGGTTATTAATTCAATATGTTTTTTCACATACAATGCCTGGGAATATGAGGCCATTTTTAATGTTACAGGGCAAAATTAATGACAGACTCTTAATTTTGTTAATGATGAACACCTAGCATTTTTGTTTTATTGTGAGTGATATGATAAAATATTTATACATTTCTATGACTGCCTCCGCCGAACTCCTTCATCATTCACTCACTAGGGTAGCACAGTAGGTTTTAAGAATTAATTTTTACCAATTTTTATCCAAGGGCAGTTTCATGATTCCAAGGTCAAATGCCTTTAATGGCCTCCTCAATCAATAAATAAAAAGATAACTAATATTAGGAGAAGTCCTGGAGCATAAAGTGTAAATTACAGAGCCAACATCAGGCCCTCCAACAAGTGTTCAAGGACCAGCAAACCCATTTTGAGGCCCTGGTAAAGGGACAGGAGGAGGACTGGAAAGTGGTTCGGAGCCTGCTGCACTCCACCAACCCACCAGTTGTGGCCACTCACAAAAATGACTCCACAGGATGCCCCAGAAGCATTTCTGGAGCTGTTTGAGTGAGCTGCCAAGGACCATCAGTGGGATGAGAAAAACTGGGCAGTCTGGAAACCCAATTGGCTGCTCACCAGCTTCCAGTGAGGTTGCAGCTGGTATACACAGAGATTAAAAAAGCGTGATTAAAAAACACCCCTTCTAATCCTATGTCCTCTCTCCCTCCTCATGTGACATCAACTGAGCCCACAGGGGCAGGTGTGTAGGGGGGTGCAGGGAATCAGGTCATTTCCAGGACCAGTGTCTTCACATGGAGGTGGGCATGCTGGTCTGGATCCCCCACTCTCCTCATGTCTCCTCCGATTGAGCTGGGATGTACCAAATATCAATTCAAGGGGGTACATATCAGGTCTTGCTGGATTTAGGTTGTGATCAGACCACAATACATCAATGATTGATTCAAAACATAGCTTTGGGAAAAGCTTATGAAGGTAAGGTGAGGTGTGTTCATGGGGATGTGCACGATTATCCGCACGTGTCTGTCACTATTGAATTCCGGGGGGAAAACATAGTGCTAAGGCAGCAGTTAGTCCTCACTTTACCTTCACCGTACCCATCCTTTAATGCTAGGGACAAACTGGCCACAATTTCAGGAATTAGTAAAGAAACTGACAAACGATAGATCCCGTACCAAGGAATGGGGCAAACTGTGCAACGAGATGAGCTGTGAAAAGAGATGGGCTTCCGGGGCCATTGCACACTTCTCCAGACTCAAGTTTATCGGGGCATGGGGACTTGGTTAGGGGAGCCAATCCCGAGAGGAGGGCTTCTCTCCGGGGCTCCACCCTCAGGATTCCCCTAGGGGATTTCCCCCTGGAGCAGTCATGTGATGATACTCAGAAGCATGCCTTTAGCCAAGTGAAAGCCTTTGATGGTCAAAGACTCAAACTGGAGAGGATGCTCACATACCCCTATTTTTGTATGTTAAAGGATAAGTTATGCATGGTGTGACATGTGACATGTGAAACTCAAACAGAGAAGATTATAAAAATGCATGATTCCAAAGAGCTGTATGGAAATGCTTTTCCATGTGGCTTATAATAAACCTATGGCAGGACATTTGGGCCAGGAGAAGACACTAAACTGGCTAATGGCTTGTTTCTACTGGCCAGGCATTTACAATGATCTCTGCAAGTGGAGTGTGGCTTGTGATGAATGTAAACTAGTTAACCCCCCGGCCGTCCCAAAAGGACCATTGTGCCCTCTCCCCTTAATTGAGGTCCTCTTCGAGAGAATTGGTATGGACCTCGTCGGGCCATTAGACCAGAGTACATGTGGGTGCTGCTTTGTATTGGTTCTTGTGGACTATGCCTTTTCAGAACATCTCAGCACACAGTGTTGTGGAAGCATTCTTTCGCATCATCTCCCGAGTTGGAATCACAAAAGAGATTCTGACTGAGCAGGGTACCACTTTTATGTCGGGCACCTTACATGAGCTTACGTATGAATTACTGGGCATTAAGTTGATTCACACCAGTGTTTACCATCCACAAATGGATGGGCTGGGTGAACGATTTAATCAAACCCTGAAAAATATGATTTGTAAGTGCTTACATGAAGATGCTAAAAACAACTGCTTGGGTAGCTAGAACCCCTGTTATTTGCTGTGCAAGAGGTCCCGCAAGCCTCCTCGGGGTTCTCCCCTTTTGAGTTGTTATGCAGAAGACAGCCTTGACTGGAGGTTCCCAAAACTATCAAACCAACTCCGATCTTGTGTGGTGACCAGCTCTCGCCTTCCCAGAAAACAGAGGTTGGCAAGTTGCAAGCCGCGTTTTCAGACGTGTTTTCACCTCTGCCTGGCTGGAACATGCTCAAAGAGCACCACATTGAGACAGTTCTATGCAGTCGCCCCTATACATTACAATAACAAAGTGTTTTGGGAAGAACTCAAGGCCTATGCTTGATATGGGAGTAATAGTGGAGTCGAGCAATGACTAGAGCAACCCTGTGGTGCTTGTTCCGAAGTCCGACTCAACTCTTCCATTTTGTGTCAATTATAGAAAAGTTAACGCAGTGTATTGACAAACTGCTTTTCAGTTGGGTGCTGCTCTTTTTTTATTTGACCCCGGATTTAACCAAGAGATACTGGTAGATCCTCTGGACCCCAGTATCTTGTGAAAAAGTTCTCCACACCACTGGTTACACCATTGGTTACACCATTGGTTACACCAATTTGTCACACTTCCGTTCGGATTGTTTGGCGCTCCAGCCACATTTCAATGTCTAATGGACAAAATCTTATGCCCCCACACTGCGTATGCCGTGGCTTATTTAGATATCACTATTTATAGTAATGACTGGCAGTGGCATGTGCAGCATCTCAGGCCGTCCTTAGGTCTTTGAAGTGGGCTAATCTGTCACCAGCCCACTGACTGATCTCACTAAAAAGGGAGTCCCAGACCCGGTCCAGTGAACAGAGCAGTGCCAAAAGGCTTTTAACTGGGTAACAGCAGCTCTTTGCGGGGGGTCTGCTCTTACACTCACCTGACATTACTCTCCCTTTTACCTTACCGATAGACATGTCAGACAGGGGGCTGGGGCCGGTTCTGTCACAGAAGGTGGAGGGGGTGGACCACCCTGTGCTGTATATTAGCTGGAGGCTCTCCCTGAGAGAGACGAAATACAGCACCATAGAAAAAGGGTGTCTGGCCATCAAGTGGGTGGTTCTCACCCTCCGATAATATCTGCTTGGGTGGCCCTTCACTCTCTGGTATCTGGCGTTGTAGCCCTTTAAGTTCAACGTCGCCCACAGGCCAGGGGCTCAGATGCTGGTAGCGAACTTCCTCTCCCACCTTGCAGGTTGGGGGGGTGGTGGTGTCTGGTGAAGACACAAACCGAATGGCAACAGTTACACCTGTGGGTGATTGTTTCTTTCCACACTTGGGTAGAGAGATGAAATTAACTTAAAGCTCCAGAGGAAGAAACAACTCTGAAGCTTGCAGCAGTGAAGAGCTATCTGCTCACAGCCTAGCATTCTTTTGTTTTTGTTAATGTTTGGAGAGAAAGAATAAAAGGTCTCTGCCCACTGACACTGCCTCCTCTGTACTCCTTCTGCCCACACCCTCCAGGGTATCACAATAATACTATATGTTGTGATTTTATGTATTTCAATTATTGTGCTTGTTATTTGCTATATCACATAATACCTAGTTTGACTGCTTCATTCAGTTAAATGAAGTGTGCTGCTAATAAAACTGAACAAATCCATGTTTTGACGGTAAAGGCGGCCATACACTGTACTAAATATGATATTTATACACATTAGGTGTTTTGGTTGTTTCGTCCACATTTTGAATGTAAAAATGCATGATTTATATTCAAATCAACTAGACTGCAACACCCAGCAGGATTCACAGATAATTTTCCTTGAGTGAGCCTGAAATGTTGATCTGAACCTAAATGCTACCAGAGAACATTCTCCCACAAATCCTACTTAACCAACAGCACCAAGTTTAGAGTCTGATCCTCTCTTGCAAGAATTTTTTTCTCACATACATCGCATCATGCACCTCAGTGCCAACAAGAGACTCTAGCTTAAACCCAGATTGAAAACTGGGTAACAATTTATTTGGATAGCTCTCTATATAGATGATTGTAGATGCTTACCTTACCTTACATTTAACTTAAATTCAACTAAAAATCAATTAAATCACCTCGACTCTTCCAAACCCTAATGCTGTTCCTAATATTGATCTTAAACTTTGCCTCAATCCAAAACCTAAAATTAAATCTAGCCCTGGCCCTAATGTGAATGGTAACTCTAATGCTATTAAATATCAACAGAGTTTTCTCAAATGAAGGGCAACCAAATGTTTAACATAACAAAAGCATGGATGCAGAATAAAGCAGGCATCTAAATATTACATTGGATCTGATTTGGGCCTGACAAATATTTAATATGAACCCCTGAATCTCACTCTATCTGTCATGACAGGTTTATACAAACATTTTAAATTCAATAATACCCACAAAGTACTATCAGAGAGAAAAATAAAAAAAAATTGGAATGCCCAAGTCAATGTCCCAGTTCAAATCTATTAAAACAAGAAATTCACCTAGAGGAAAGAGACAGAAGTCAAAAACATTAAACCACAAAAAGGTGACATTTTATACTTTTACTCCATATTTATCTTTAAATCTTTCATTTAAACTGCTAGTGTATGCAGGAAAATTTAATCATTCTAGTGATTCTCTGAAGGCACTATATGATCAATACTAGTTTCATTGATATTTAAAACTAATTTTTTTAAGAAGGGAAGATGGATAAACCCCTGCTGGATCATACTGTATGATCACTTGTACAGATACAATATGATCACATGATCTCATCCTTCAAGTGCCCAAAATGGGCTATCACTCTCTATATAATAGATCTCCCAGCTGTGAAGCGCAATGGAGTAGTGCTGCAGAGCCTCTGCAATGTTTCTCTATGCGTTTCTGCTGCTCTGTGTTTTTAAAGCAAAAGGAGAAAAGGCGAAGTGCCAAATGATTGGGAGTCTAGAGTACCCTGTGCTTTCCAAGGATGGGGATGTCATCATTGGAGGAGCTTTTTCAATTCACAGCAACATTACTTTACAGACACTGTCATTTACTGAGAAACCACAAGGTCTAACCTGCACCAGGTTTGTTTCATCTTTCATTCTACTACCACTGCGATCTAAAGAAAACCTTTCATTGAATTGGAAGGGTGAGGACCTGGGAATAGTGAGGTCTTGTGTAAGTGGAACTGAATGAACATAAACTTTTTAAAAATGTTTGCAACACTGTATACTACTAAAATTATGAATGACTGAAAGATAAAATTGTATTATGTTATGATTGTATTAATATTTTTGTTCTTTTATTTAGTTTGGACTTCAGAGAATTCCGCTTTGTTCAGACCATGATATTTGGTATTGAAGAAATTAACAACAGTAGTCTTCTTCCTAATATTTCAATTGGGTACAAGATATTTGATAGCTGCAGCTCAACATTAGCCTCTATGAGATCAGTCATGGCTTTGATAAATGGCCAGGAGCTTACAGCGCAAGAAACCTGCTCTGGGCACTCAGCAGTGCAAGCAATCATTGGGGAGTCAGAGTCTTCTTCAACTATTGTGATGTTGAGAGCAACAGGGCCATTCAGGATTCCAGTGGTAAAGTACATAGACATCAAACTGTTTTTGGTAAAACATGCAACCATAGCATAGCAATAATACTAATTTGATGTGTCATTTACTCCCAACAGATTAGTCATTTTGCGACCTGTGCTTGTCTGAGCAACAGAAAAGAGTATCCCTCCTTTTTCAGAACAATTCCCAGCGATTACTACCAGAGCAGAGCACTGGCTCAGCTAGTGAAGTATTTTGGCTGGACCTGGGTAGGAGCGGTCAGAAGCGATAATGACTATGGCAACAATGGCATGGCCACATTTATGGAAGCAGCAAGAAAAGAGGGAGTATGCATTGAGTATTCTGAAGCCATTCTAAGAACAAATTCCAAGGAAAGCATTGCTAAAGTTGTGGAAGTGATCAAACAAGGCACAGCTAAGGTTTTGGTAGCATTTCTGGCCCTGAGTGAAATGGATGCTCTGTTAGAAGAGGCTCTTTCTCAAAACATGACAGGGCTACAGTGGATAGGCAGTGAGTCCTGGATAACTGCCAGGTACTTGGCAACTGAAAAGACATCAAAAGTTATCAGTAGTGCAATAGGCTTCACAATCAGTAAGTCTAAAATTCCAGGTCTGAAGGACTTCCTTGTAAAAGTCCATCCATCTCAGAGTCCCTCAAGTGCACTTCTGAGGGAGTTCTGGGAAACAACATTTGGATGTCAGTTTTCTCAAAATGATGACAATGAGAAGCTTTGCACTGGATTTGAGAATCTTAAAGAAATAAACAACACATTCACTGATGTGTCTGAGTTAAGGATTTCCAACAATGTGTACAAAGCAGTTTATGCAATCGCCCATGCCTTGCAAAACACATTGGCTTGCAAAGCTGATGATCCCTTTGAAAATATAACTTGCACCCAAAAGGATGCACTGCTGTCAAGTCAGGTAAGAAAATGTAGTCTTTAGAAATAATTAGAACGTTACAAGCACACAAACAGACATGGAAAAAAAGCTAAATTTTTCCCAAATTTTTTCAGGTATTACATTCTTTACAGAGTGTTAACTTTACAATGCCTACAGGTGAGAGTGTGTATTTTGACAGTAATGGAGACCCTATTGCAAGGTATGAGCTGGTGAACTGGCAGAAAAATGCAGCAGGAGACATTGCCTTTGTTACAGTGGGTCACTATGATGCTTCTCTCCCAAGAGATGAGCAGTTTGTCATGAAACCTATCAATATAATCTGGGCTGGAAATAGTGACATGGTAAGTAAGTACAGCTTAGAAATTGTTAAGAGAATTTGAGATTTGTTGTCATTTTTGTGGAACTGAGAATGTGTTGCAGAGGCCCAGGTCTGTATGCAGTGACAGCTGTCAACCAGGCTTCAGACAGGCACAACTAAAAGGGAGACCACCTTGCTGCTTTGCATGTGTACAGTGCCCTGTGGGTGAAATCACCAATGCGACTGGTAATTCATGTGTACTGTAAAAATCAATACCATTCAAAAGATATTTAGAAAAGAAAATAAATTTTACAGCATATATTAAAGTATTAGTATATATTTTAAGAGGTTGTATTTAAAATTCCATGTTGTTTGTAAATACCAATAAGTTGATAAATAATATAATAGAATAGATCGTTTTACAAAAAATCCTTGAAATGTTATCTGCCACATACATGAGGCATTCTTAATGTTAGTTTCTTCATTTTGTAAAGTCCCTACAAATCAGCTGAAACCTATTAAGTTAAACCATCATCATATATGTATATTATACATGTCCCTGCCACATAATTGATTTTATATTAGTGAAAACAGTGATTTCAAACTTTCAAATGGTGATGCCAAACTCTAGAACTGAAGTGTACATTTAAGTTTAAAAGGACATTTACAGATAGAAATCTTTAATTTTGTAACAATTCAATATGTTGTGCATGAGTGTTCTATCTGTGACTATTCCGTCTCATTTTAGACTCTGTGGAATGCATCAGATGTCCTCTGGAGTACTGGTCAAATGAAAACCACAGCCTCTGTGTTCCAAAGAGAGTGGAATTCCTCTCATTTGATGAAAACATGGGAATCCTTCTGACAGTGTTTGCATTAACAGGAGTTTCATTTACCATAGCTGTAGGACTGGTGTTTTTCTACTTCATAGATACACCACTTGTAAAGGCAAGCAACACTGAGCTGAGCTTCCTCCTGCTCTTCTCACTGACTCTGTGTTTCCTCTGTTCACTTACTTTTATTGGTCAGCCCTCTAAATGGTCCTGTATGCTGCGCCACACAGCGTTTGGGATCACCTTTGCCCTTTGCATGTCCTGTGTTCTGGCAAGAACAATAGCAGTGGTAATGGCCTTCAGAGCCACTGTGCCAGGCAATAGTCTTCCACAGTGCTCTATGCCTGTACAGAGAATGAGTGTTTTCTGTTGCACTCTTTTTCAAGTCATTATTTGTACTTTGTGGTTAGCACTAGCGCCTCCAGTACATCGCAAAAACATGGCACACTCCACTGACAAAATCATTCTAGAATGTGATCTAGGTTCTGTGGTAGGTTTCTGGGCTGTGCTGGGTTATGTAGGACTTCTAGCTGCTTTGTGTTTTGTTTTGGCTTTTCTAGCACGGAAGCTGCCTGATAACTTTAATGAAGCCAAGTTCATCACATTCAGCATGATCATATTCTGTGCAGTGTGGATCACTTTCATCCCAGCTTATGTCAGCTCTCCTGGAAAGTTCACTGTAGCTGTGGAGATATTTGCCATTTTAGCCTCAAGTTTTGGTTTGTTATTCTGTATCTTTATTCCAAAGTGTTATATTATTATACTTAAGCCAGAGCAGAATACTAGGAAACGGCTAATAGGCAAAACACATGCAAAATCACAATGACTTTTCTCCAATCTCTGCTCTGTACACATAGACACACATTACACAGACAGTAAATACATGAAATGTGAATAAAAATATTTTGTAACTGAATAAATGAAAAAAGAATGAAATCTACAAAAATAAAAACATTGAAAAAATGAATAATTCATATTCAAAAATCTGGTATTATCTGTGGGATCATGATAAGTAATTTTGGTGTAACACATGATGACAGATATGTTAGAGGTCTAACTAAATGACAACCTACTTGCACTATTACCCACTATCACTGCAAAACAACCTCTACTATTTTTACCTGTATTGCTAAAAAAATAATTTATTGTAAGTCCAATCACAGTCATAACATTTTTTTAAATCTCCAAGGTGCATCAATAAAATATGGTGAAACACTAGAATCAGCTTGCAGGAAGCCTTTACAGAAAGGAAGGCCTACTTGCTACTATGACTGTATACCATGTGCAGAAGGAGAGGTCAGTAACAAGACTAATCTCTATTCTTCTTCTACTATTTAGGATGCTGATCCTGAACTATGGCACAAATAACACCATATGACAATGTTTGGTTTCATTCAATGATCATAATTGTTTTGCAGATTCAAATAACTGTGAGCCGCGTCCAGAATACTGGTGTAATGTCAAAAGAGATAAATGTGTGCTGTAGGTCATACAAATTATGGGGATAGTACTGGTCTTCTTTTCTCTTTCTGGAACAGGAATAACAATGTTAGTCGGTATTTCATTTCGAATTAAAAAACACACTCCCTTTGTCAGAGCAAACAACTCAGAGCTTCCCTCTTGCTGCTCTTCTCACTGTTGTTTTTTTTCTGTTCATTTACTTTCACTGGTCAGCACTCTGAGTGGTCCTGCTGTGTCACACAGCATTTGGAATCACCTTTGTCCTGTGTTCTGGGGAAAACAATAGTGGTTTGGATGCTGCGCAGAATGTAAATAAAAACAGAATGCAATGAAATGGAAATCATATAAACCATATTTTTAAAGGAAAATGCTACAAATACAACACATCAAATGTTGAAACTGAGAAATGTTATTGTTTTTTGAAAAATATGTTCCCATTTTGAATTTGTTGCCAACAACACGTTCAAAAAAGTTAGGACGGGGGCCTGTTTACCACTGTGTTTCATCACCTATTCTTTTAACAACACTCTGTTAGTATTTGGGAACTGAGGAGACACTGCTGTAGTTTTGAAAGTGAACTATTTTTCCATTCTTGTTTGATATAGGATTTCAGCTACTCAACAGTTTGGGGTCTCCTTTGTCATATTTTCATTTCATAATGCCCCAAATTTAACAGTGGGTGACAGGTCTGGACTGCAGGCAGGCCAGTTTCAAGCCCAGACTCTTTAAATATGGAGCAATGCTGTTGTAATACATGCAGAATGTGGTTTGGCATTATTTTGCTGAAAAAACAGGGTCTTCCCTGAAAAAGACGTCATCTGGATGGCAGCATATGCTGCCAAAACATGTATATATTGTTCAGCATGCATGTTGCCTTCACAGATGTGCATGTCACCCATGTCATGTGCACTAATGCACCCCCTATACCATCACGAATACAGGCTTTTGAACTGTGCACTGATAACAAGCTGAGTGGTCTTTAGCCTGGAGAACAGTGTCCATGATTTCCAAATAGAATTTCAAATGTTGATTCATCGGACAACAATACACTTTTACACTTCCCCTCAGTCCATTTTAAATGAGCTCGGGCCCAGAGAAGGTGGCAGCATTTCTGAATCCTGTTTATGTACAGTTTCTTGTTTAAATTTTAACCTTCATTTGTGGATGCAGCGGCATTTTCACAGACCAAGTTTTTCAGAAGTGTTCCTGAGCCCATGCAGTGATTTCCACTACAGAATCATGTCTGTTTTTAATGCAGCACCACCTGGGGGCCCAAAGATCATGGCCTTGTCTCTTGCATACAGAAATCTATGGCCATTTATGGCCAAAACGCAAACAAGAAACAGCAGGAAAATAAAGCAAAATAAAAAGGCAAATAATGACTTCTATTTGCAGTGCCACATAATACCAACTGTAAAAACTGTAGAGGATCCTTAATTGAGAGTGTATCTTGTGTGTGTGGGGGGGTATTAACTCTATATGATTTCTCTAATTTAATGGGATTCGTATGAATAGAAATATGAATGAGGCCATTTTTTATGTTACAGGACCACGTAACTATGATGCAAAACACTATGCTTCATTCAGCAAAATCTTTTTTTTTTCTTACATTTGCTCTTGAGAAAGGTCCTGAGAAAAAGTCTACATCAGTAAGTCCAGGTCATGTGATGTGTTCTTAAACCACAGATTTGTTTTCACCTTTGTGCTCTTGAGTGCACATTGATTCTGTTCTTACCTTCCATCAGAATCTTCATGAAAACAGCTTAAGTGGGTGTAGCAGCAGAGGCATGGTCATGGTCTGTAAGGTGGAGGGCAGGTTGGAGTGAGGGAGCCGGCTGATTGGTGAGCATGTGTAACTGTGGATAATTGTCCCCCTCCCTACTAAAATGCCTTTTTTCCTTCTGTAGAGAGAGAGAGCTGAAAGAGAGGCAAAGAGGCAGCAGAGAACTCTGAACAATCAACTTAGCCTGAATGACAAGATTAATGATGGACTGCTGATTTTTGTTATTGATGAGAGCTGTATGCTCCAAATCTAGCATTTCTGTTTCATTGTTAGTGATATAATAAAATATTTCTGTGCTTCTATGACTGTCTCTGCCATAGTCCTTCCTCATTTACCCACCAGGGTTTCACAGTGGTGCCGAAACCCGGGATAGAAGTATGAAGCCGCCGTGAAGGCCTCTCTCATTAAAACCCTCACCCAGATCCAGTAAAGCCAACATCAGGCCCTCCTTCAAGTCTTCCAGGAGCAGCAGAGCCTATTCAAAGCCCTGGTGCAAGGACAGGAGGATGACCTGAAAATTGATGAGACTTATCAATCTGGAGGTAATGGAGCAATTCATGGTCCACCCACCCAGAGGAACAGCTGCTTGGGTATAGTACCACCACCCTGAGTATCTGGAGGAGGCCCCTAGCCAATCACTGCTGGCTTCTCTCTCTGTATCCTCTCTCGTGCCCCCTCATGAACCAGCTCCACACAAAAAGGGAGCATTTCCTCCAAAACCTATTCCCTGTATCCATACTGCATTTACAGGGCCCATTAACCCCTCCCCTTCTGATCAACTGCCCTCTTTATCTCAACAGGTGGTGTCCACGGAGCCCCAAAATGCTGGGACAAAGCCTGGGCAGGTATGTTGGGGATGTGGGAAACCTGGTCATTTCCAGGATCACTGTCCCCACATGAAGATCGGAGCCCTGGCTCAGATCCCCGACTCTCCACACATCTCTCCCGACTGAGCAGGGATGTACCACATACCAATGAGTATTCAACGGGGTACGTATTGGGCCTTGGTGGATTCAGGTTGTGATCAAACCGCAATATGTCAGTGCTTGATTCAAAATATGACATTGGGTAAAGCTTATAAGGTGTAGCTGAGGTGTGTTCATAGGGGAGATACACCAATACCCGCTCATATCGGTCAGTACTGATTTCTGGGGAGAAAAGCTGTTTGCTGCTTTAGCAGCCCGGGAAACTCACAGACCAATCGCATGCATTGTAAATATCACACGTGATGTTACTCAGCCAATCAGATCTGTGCATTACGATGAGCACAGAGACTCGAGTGAGTGATGCACACACAGGGTGAGAAACAGCAGTCAGAGAAGAAAGTGAGTCACATTGCCTGCTCTTAAAAGAGAAAACTGACAATAACTGTTGTTGAAATATTACTGAATTGTACTTTATTTGATTTGACATTCAGTGGTTGACTCTATAAGATGTTTATATAACTACTACTTCAGTATACAGTATATGGCACTGAATCATGATGCAGGTTAGACATTATGATGTTCCGGACTTTTGCTTGGACTTATTGAATTTTAATTAAACATCCCTGCCCTAGGGGATTTCCCTCTGGAGCAGTCGCGTGATGGCACACTAAGGCACGCTTTTGATCAGGTTAGAGTTCTTGATGGTCAGAGGCTCAAACCCCAGATTGTGCTGACATATCCCTATTTCTCCAAAATAAAAGATAAATTCTGGCATTTATGGTGATGTATGCAGGTGGTCTGCGTCTTGCTGTGAATGTCAACTAGTTAACCCTCCAGCTGTCTCAAAAGTGCTACGTTTACACGAGGAGAGAAAGTACTTATTTCACTTCCCACATTGAGCTCTAAATTACTTGCCAAGTGGTCTCTTTGAGGTCACATGACAAGTCGAAGAGGTTGACTATAAGGTGAAATGGTCTAAAAGAGGTGATGCACTACAGATATTCCACCTCGATGTCCTTAAACGGTGGAGAGAGGCAATCCCTGTTTCTCTGGCTATGGTTGTCCCAGAAAACATAGGACTCCAGGTGGCATACAGAATTTTCCCATGTGTTTTCAACTCTGCTGGGCCAGACCAACACACTTCGTTACATGTGGTGACCAGCTCTCGCTGTCCCAGAAAACAGAGGATGCCAGGTTGCGTACAGTTTTCAATGTGTTTTCAACTCTGCTGGGCCAGACCAACCTCATAGAGCACCACATTGAGACCCCTCTGGGTCTAGTTGTTAACAGCCACCCTATAGGTTACTTGAACACAAGAAAAATGTAGTTCATGAGAAACTAAAGGCCGTGCTCAATATGGGAGTACCAGAGGAGTCGAGTTACCAAGCCCAATGGGACTGTTTGGATCTGTGCCAACTATAGAAAAGTCAACATGGTGTCTATATTCAATGCTTATCGCATGCCACGTGTTCAATTGCTCGAATGGTTGGGCACTGCTTGCTTTTATTAGACACTGGACTAAACTAAATGGCACTGGCAGATCCCATTGACTCCAGCTTCCTGTGAAAAAATGGCATTCTCCACACTCTCTGTTAGGACCATGCCCCACTCTAGTGGCTCCACTGCATGAAAGATGCCAATCCCCAGATCACCTGG